TCGGAGGGAAACATCATTGCAGACCCTGATATTACCCGTACAGGCTCTAGACTCAGACTGGTTGGACTGGTATCGGCCTAGACCTACCCTACCGCTACTGGACTCTAAAAATGCCAACTTTGTCTTTTTCTGCTCGGCCTCCAGTACCCCCTCACGCCAACTGCAGTGGGGTGCAGTATCGGCCTACCGGCCTACTTGAGTGTTTTTCCGCTACACCAAGGGCCGCGGGGCCGCTAGCTTCGCCACTTGAGTGTTTTTCCCTGCTACAACCCTCAATGCCACGGTCACAGGTAAGTACCGGCCCTATGGGCCTGCCAAACAAGCAAGTACCCTTGTGGGTCACACACGCACTCATTCCGACAAGCACTCAGACGACACGCAGGTCACAAGCACGCACACACAAACAGACTTGGAAAACACAGCAGAATGCGGGAATCCATTAAGGCATCCATTTCATCGGCAGAACTTCAGAAATCAGCAGTGTTCTCAGTCTGTGTTTTGACGGGTTATTACACTACCCCCCCCTCAAGAGCGAGGTCCCTTCGAGCGAGTAACTCAATCAGAGTCCTTGCTTAATGCATCATAGGCGTAGATAGCAAAGAGAGATCGGTTGTGTTCCGTAGGAGTCAGGGTAGCAGTGAATTTTGGTTGCTGTTCAGAACTGATCAACTCGAGGTGCACTCTGCAGTAGGTCTTTCTTAGCAATCCAGTAGAAGTCATTAAGTGGGTGGTACAGAAAATGCACTTTATACTGTCTGTTTCTCCCTTTTCCACTGTGCTCGACGATTTTATCAACCTCGTGACCGCCATTGATTGCGTGGGGAATCATCGATTCTTGGTACTTGAACGTCTCAGGTGACTTATACGGAAATAACTTTGATGCGTGAAAGACTGGGTATGTTCGCAAATGAGCAGGCACATCAATTGTGTAAGAAGGACCGAAGGAATCATTACCTACTCGATTCAGCACCTTCCAGGGACCGTAGTACTGAGGAAGAAGCTTCCGTGATACGCCTTTTTCTTCAGAAAACTCAGACATCTTGACCCACACATAACTTGCCACTGTGAAAGGATCAGGTTGGCGCTTTTTGTTGGCATGCTTGATCATGGCATTGCGTCGCCTTTCCATAGCTGCGACAACAACTTTGAGCAAACGATCGTACTTAGCGCTGTAGCCTGGCTGGCCAGGTGTTAGGCCAGGTGGCTGTTCCAAGAACAGATAAGATAGAGGATTGCGGATTTTCCATCCAAGATGCAGGCAGTTAGGCGTCATCCCGGTGGAAGAGTGGATGGAGTTGTTGTACAACCCCTGCACAATCGGCAACTCCTCATCCCAAGAGTTCTGGTCAGGCACGATAAGAGCCCTGAGAAGTTGGATTACGGTCTGGTTGATCTCCTCGGCGAGTTCATTGGCTTCCGGGTGTCGGCCAGACGTCATCTTGAGTTTCATGTCATAGGTCTGGGAGGTGAAGTTTTTCCAATCTGCACTTATGAACCTGGTATCCTGATCACTCACAAGAGTCTTCGGGGGACCGCACTGCAGAATGTACCTTTTGTTAAATTCTTCGATCACAAGGTCAGTTGGGGCATTAGGCGGTAATGGGATCAGATTCAAAAATTTGAAAAAAAGATCGACGATCACCATTACTTGTGAATAACCGTTTCTGCTCTTCTTCCCCATGTCCGTGAAGTCAATGGAAACAAACTCACCCGGACCATCAGGGATAGGAAGAGGGTGCAGCAGCCCATAGGGCTTCTGTCGAGACGGTTTGATACGTTGACAAACTTCACACTCAGCCACAAACCTTTGTGCCATTCTTTTCATTCCAAACCACACAAACTTTTCCAACAGATTCCCGTACGTCTTCTCAACACCGAAGTGTCCACTCCGACCATGAGCCAAATCCAAGAACTGAGTCATGATCGGCTCATGGTTGGGCACACACAATCGGTCATGCTTCCCGTAACGTCGGAAGAGAAGGCCCTTACATTCATGGAAATCAGGCTGACTGCTAGGGTCAGCCCGAATCTGCTCAAGGATGGGGCTGAGTTCTGGATCCTTGGCAGTATGCTCAATGAGTTCCTCCTTCAAATTTTTACGGAGATCATAGGAACCCACAAGGCAAGTCATATACTCAGGGTGGCGAGAAAAAACATCCGCAACTCGATTATAACAGCCTTTCTTGTGCTTAATTTCAAAATCATACACATCAATCTCACGCAGCCAGCGGGTCAATGTGGTTGATGGGTTAATTTGTGTCTGAATCCATTTCAAAGTCTCGTGATCTGAGAACACTTTGAAATGGCGACCCAAGAGGTAGTGTTTCCAATGATCTAGTGCCTCTCTCAAGGCATAGAGCTCTCGCATGTAAGTGGAAGCAACTACCTTGTGACTGGGCATGTGTTTGCTGTAGCATTCAAGCGGACGTAGGCCATCACCATCGTCTTGCTGCAGCACTGCACCAATCCCATACAAACTTGCATCCATAGTTACTACGAACGTAAGTTTGGGATCCGCAATGCAAAGCACCGGATGACTCACCAAAGCCTCTTTCAATGCGTCGAAGGCTGTCGTGCATTCCTCATTCGATGTGTAAGACACATTCTTGCTTGTTAATTTAGACAGCGGACGGGCGATGATAGAGAACTTGGGCACAAACTTACGGTAGTACGACGCAAGACCAAGAAAAGAACGCAACTCGCAGACATTCGCAGGTTGAGGCCATTTTCGGATGACCTCAACTTTGGTTGCCTCGGGCTCTAGGCCTGCAGCAAACAACCGATGTCCAAGGTAGATGACGTTGTCCCTCCCAAACTCAGATTTCTCCAAGTTGAGATGGAGCTGCGCGTCCTTGAGGATCTGCATCACTTCCTCAAGGTGCCTCATGTGTTCCTCCATCGATTTGTTGAAGATTAGTATGTCATCCAGATATAGAACAACAAATCGGTTGATCTGATTGCGAAATACCTTATCCATGAGACTTTGAAAGGTGGCTGGCGCATTCGGAAGACCGAAGGGCATGACTGTAAACTCGTACAGCCCATCGCGAGTTTTGAACACGGTTTTATGCTAGTCTGCAGGATCGACTTCATTCTGGTGGTAGCCAGACTTGGGATCGATCTTGCTGAAGATTTTGCATCCACCTGCAGCATCAAGCAAATCATCGATACGTGGCAAAGGATATACATTTTTTCTTGTAATTCGATTCAATCCACGGTAGTCAATACACATCCGTAGTTTGCCTCCTTTCTTAGGGACAAAGAGCACTGGTGCACCAAACTCAGACTCGCTTGGTTTGATCCATCCCTTCCCAATCATATCATCAATCTGCCTTCGCAACTCCTCCAATTCGCCTGAGCCCATCCGATAGACACATCCCTTTGGAGGAGTGCTACCTTCAATCAACTCGATCTTGTGTCGGACCGGACGCACTGGGACTCCATGCGGTTCGACCAAGACTTCTGGAAATCGGTTGAGAAGGTTGCGAATTTCTGATGGGATCTTCGGAGGTGGATCATCACTTTCGGGTGCAAGCATACCTGATTGCATAGGTGCAACCAACACAACAGAATTGGAAGTGGAATCATTTGGACTACAAGTAGATTTAGTAGAGGTAGAAGTAGTTGCCTCAGAAGTAGAAACAACATGCAAAGTAGAATCATTACGTACAACAAAAATAGAAGGCACATGAGCAGGCCTAACAAAGGCTATATACATTTGCTCATCAACTTTGCGCCTGCGCCACTTTTTGCAGAACTGCATTGCATTGAGAAAAATTACTTAGGACTCGCGCAGCTCATCCAAGAGGACTGGACGCTCGATTCCCATGGCATCTTTGACCATGAATTGTGAGTCCTTCCACGTGGTTCTTTCACATTGGGCTTGCAACCAGCCCAAGCCAATAACCGCGTCGAAGGGGCACTGATCAAGGACACATGCGTGATAGTGCGGTCAGCGTCAAAGGTAGTGCGCACACCTTTGACTGCATGCGTAGATGTGACAACCTCTTGGTTACCTACTTGGGTCCGGCAAGGATTCTGCAAAGTCACTTGCTTCATCCCCAAGCGTGCCTTACGAATGCCGTGCGGTGAGAAGTAGTTGGCGGTTGCACCACAATCAGCCAACGCACGGATGTAACGACCATTAATGTAGAGTTTGAAGAAGATTAACTTCGTTCTCCCTTGCACGCGTTCTTGCTTCATATGAACCCAGCGCGTCAACAGAGCATGGAAGTCAATTTCTTCCGACTCTACCCAAGGCTCCTTGTATAGGATGTGTATCTTTTCAGCCTTGGAATCAGCACCAGATGGGGTATCGGGAGAGGTTTGTTGAGTGGGATCAGAATCCAAAGAAGGATCTACACTTACATGTTCAGCCTCTCCATCTATAGAGTGCGCTGATGATGCCTCTACCCCCGTTGCTGGTTTCCGTGCTGCAATCTGAAACAATGTTGGACTAATTGTCCCGGTTTAGTCCAATGCAGGCAAATCCCTTTCTTCACCCTGTGTTTCCACTCACTTTCACTGATCCGGAGATCTACCCATGGTTTTGTGGCAGGATCTTCCGGTTTGGGTGGAATCTTCGCTCCCTTGGGAAGAAGGATATTGTTAGTGTTGTTCTTCATTGTGGTCCTCGGTCCCTTACTTTTAAAGGCAGTCTTTTTAAAGGCATTCATAGATTCTTCGTCATTTATGGGCTGACAATGAGTAAGATGCCCCGCAGTCTTGCTCTTGATCGTCATCAAGAGAAGATTCATCCACGAGGGTCTCCTCGTCAGCCTCAAGCAGATCGTGTGCTGCAAAACGGTTGCTGCCTGGAAACCGTTTGCGGCTGGTGGCCTTTTTGCCACTTGACCCACCCGAGAGGTCTTGTGCCTCCAGCTTGACTAAGTCCCGCATGAGGGTAAGCCAATCTGTATATCCGCTGAGCCCGAGCCCTAGGCAATCTTTTAGAGTAGAGGGGACCGTACGTTTTATCACATCCAAACACGACTGCGCAGTCATCTCCAGATCCGGAGTAGCAAAGAGTTTACTAACATACTGCTGCAGGCTATGCATGGTGCCAGTCCACTTGCTGTGCTTGAGTTTGTCAAGCTTGAGTCTTGCTTTAGCTGCAACATGTGGATCAACATACTAATTGATCAAGAGGTCCTCGAGTGTGGTGGTAGGCGTGGCCTTCAGCCATTTGTTCAGGTCTATTCTCTTATAGCCTGATTGGACAGCTTGGGTTTCCAGGAAACCTCTCACGACGAGCTCCACATTAGTCCCTAGGATAGACGACTGGGTCGAGGAGGGTGTCCCCAACACATCAAAGTAGGATCGCATGGAGCTAATCCAAGACTCGATGTCGTCCTTTCCGTCATACTTGGACGGAATCTGCGCCGCCTTCCTGTCGATGTAAGCAAAGTTGCCGCTTGGCCCAGCCATTGCTCGATCCGGACTCGGGACTGCAACAGTTCAAGAATTCCCTGCATTACCACTTGCCGCTGCAGCAGCAGCAGCAGCAGCAGCAGGGTCTGGACTTGCTGCAGATCCGCTTTGGCTGTTAACCACACTCAAAGAAGAAGAAAAAGTAGAAGGAGAAGAAGTAGACATAGTCAGAGGGGCAAAACTCGACTGACACGCAGCATTGGAAGCAGGGTAGGTGAGTGGAGAGACAACCTGAGCCTGTTGTGAACTAGCAAATTGTTGCAGCTGGTCATGGTGCTGCTGTGCTATTTTGGCCATGTCTTCGCGCAACTCTTTGAGCTGCTTAAACACCTGTGCGAATTGGCCAGTATGGTCCTCAGCAACCCGGACCTCTACCAAGGCTCTGAGGAGGGTAACCATTTTCTCTTCTACCTCCTCATCAGTCAGAGCGGACACGGTGCTAAAGACGGCCTCGTGAGCCTGCACCTTATCCCTTCTCTCTCTCTCTTTCTCTTCCTCCTCCCTCTTCAAAGCTTTCTTGTAGAAGAACTGATACTACGTTTTTTCTGCCTCAGGGGCAGCGTCCATCTGCAGCTTCCAGTCTGCCGCAGACGCCATGATGGAGGATGAGGGTGTCAGTAAGACTCTCAAGAGGGGTCTGTACTTCTTCTCAACTTTGTGAGGAACGTTCCTCTTCCCTCTCCTCACTCCCTCAAGAGCAACACTCAATAGCTTCTCTCTTCTCTCTCTCTCTCTCTCGTTTGTGATCGTGTAGACGCAGGCATTAAAGAACCCAATGGAAGAAACAACTTGAAATCAATCAGAAGAGTAGGTAGAACTCCTAGCCGGAGCAGCAATTCATTTGGACTGGAGAGCAGTCAAAACAACAAAAAAAAAAGAAATAAAGATCAGAGAGATCTGATCCAGCCACACAGTCTGGACCGACTACGTATGGGGTCCTCCCAAGCCTAGTCGGCCTCAGCTCCGTGAAAACACAGCAAATCAGATTCAAGATATACGGCGAAATGCAAGAGAGAATTGAGTGTTGTCCAAGGTGCGAGTCAGGCGGCGGATCGTGCGGTAAAGTCTGATGAAACTTCCCATCGAAGATCCCCTCCGCAGCGAGTGTCCTGGTCCGAAAGCATAAAGTCCGAGTCCCAATCAGATAGAGCAAGGTAACTGACGTCAACAGATTTGGCCTGAGGGGCCCTTCTTGTTTGGGCCTGGTCCCATTGAGTCCCAAACGGTCCCAGTGGAGTCGGAACCGGGGCCCAACCAACAAGAGTTCCACAAAGACCTACTCTGTCCCTACCAAATTGAAAAACGAAATTTTGCCCCAGAAAGAATCTGTAGACTACAGCCGTTCAGAATGAAATAAACAAAGCATTGTAGAGAGATATCACATGGCAAGCAAGATACTCCATCCATTCACTCGTCAGGTAAGTAGGCAGTTCACACACCTCACACACAATCAAGACTATGGAGGATGGAAGAAGAACCCAGAGAACCCCAACAGGCAATCAATTCCATGCACACACACATGGGCACCCTGGTGGCACGACACTTACCTGAGTGGCCGGGCTCTTGAGATGAAAATAACTCACCCCCCTCTCACATAGTCCTCCTGACCCAATTAGCATCCTCTACACTAGTGTCCTATCATCTAGGAGGGTCAACATCTACCCCAAAGTACAAAGTCAGATCCCCCGTCGATGTTGAAGATCAAAGCAGCAACTTGCAGTCCGTAGGTGCAAATATGGCTGCCACCCTCAAGCTCGACTACTTGAGGGGAGCCCTAAAGTCACTCCTCGTCTTCCTTGAAGTCCAGACTCAAGTTGTAGGTGCCCTTCATTGTTGCCTCTCTCAAATTGCATCACGAAGTCCCACCTTGTGTCCCGCCACCACAATCATGCACTCACACAACCTGGCCGGGTCTAGTGTCGACCCTACACGGCCCTGCCAGGTGGGAGCAGCTTCCCTTTACCACGCTGCCCCACTTACCCTAACTTCCAGCCCTAACCCTAAGTGGTTAGCCCTTACCACTAGGGTTAGGGTTATGGCAGCAAAGTCAACTCTTGCCAGCAAGTAGAATCCGCTCCGATACCAATGTTACGATCCTGGCCAATTTCGAAGTATACATTCATCTGAAAGTACAATGCCATCCAATTTCAAAAAGAAATGAATGAACTTGAGAGGAAAGAGAGGGAAAGAAGAAGAAGAAGAAGTGAGAAAGAAGAAGATGATGATGTACTCCAGCATAGACCAATGTCAAGGCTCTTCTTCTTTGCCAACCAATCCCTTCCTCCTTATCTCCTCCCTCTTATTCAAACAAGAAAGAACAATAATAATGTTGAATGACTGAACCAGAATCCATGTCCGAATCCCACTTCTACTGCAGGCACAACATGAGGTCCACCATAGCCATGGCCACC